GAATTCCCTGAAACCTAAATGATTCTCACTCCATGACCCCTCCCCAAAACTCAGGAACAAGTGGGAATGGAAAAGCTGTGCTGTGTGTTTTAAATCTGATTTGCTAGCTTATTTCCACTTCTCTCATGTGTCATATCTCAGTGATGTCAATAGCACTGGGTTAGCCCACTGGTATTCACCCAGCACTCAGCCCTGGAACCACAGTAGGCCACGTAAGCCTATCCAGAGAGTTGGTGGCTAAGAAAACAAATGGAGAAGTTACTGAGAAAGTTTTACCCTTACTGATTCTGTTCACAGCAGATCTCTGCCTAGCCAGATCCTAAGATCTGTCCTGCAACCTGAACCTCTGCCCCTGCCCCAGGCACTTCGTGGACCTAGTTCCCTTTTTAGTCAGAATTCTAGACACATCATTCAGTGTTAAGCAACACTCTTCTGCCAGCACTAAGCAAACCTATGATTTCCGGTGGGTCTATCCTTTGTAAGATTGCATAAAAACCTAGTGCTTCTTGCTGGGCACAAGAGGCTCATACTTGTCATTCTAGCTATTTGGGAGACTGAGATCAGAAGGATCACAGTTCAAGGCCAGCTTGGGCAAACAGCTGTCAAGACCCCATTTCTAAAATAACCAGAGCAAAATGAACTGGAGGCATGGCTCAAGTGGTACACTGCCTGCCTAGCTAGCAAGTGCAAAGCCCTGAATTCAAACCCCAGTCTCACAAAAAAGAAAAAAAAAACTAGTATGTCTCAAAAACATTCATTCTTTCTCCCTTTTTAGAAAACTCTTGAAGAAGTCATCCAAAAAGTGCACAAAACTTTTTGCACAAGCCTCATCGCACACAGGGCTCTGAGGGTAGCTCACATCTGTAATCTTAGCTACTAAGGAAGCAGAATCAGGAGGATAATGGTTTGAAGCCAGTCCAGGACAAATAGAACCATCAGAAAAAAAAAAAGGTCAGGGCACAAGCAGTAAGAGCGCCTGCCTAGCAAGCATAAGGCCCTGAATTCAAACTCCAGTGTTGCCAACAACAAAAAAAGAAAAGAAAAAAACAAAAACTATTTACATATGTGTTTCACACAGTTGAGTGATAAAAATTATGGCATATTTGGTTGACAGGAGGTAATACTACTGCCATTGTGATTTCTTAAAGGCATAGGACTGATTGTAACAGAACGTTAAGTGAATAAGACTGAAAATGAGGCTTTCTACTTGAATTTATATCACTCTATCTGTCCACCATAAGGATATCAGCCATGCCAAGTGTGATAGTGCATGCCTGAGATCTCAGCACTAGAGAGACTGAAGCAGGAAGATCAAAAGCATAAGACCATCCTGGGCTACTTAGTGAGATCCTGTCTCAATGAAACAAAACAAATAAAGATACCAGTCATATTCTTAAACATATGTACAAGAAAAGGACTAGGGGAAACATATGATAACATGCTTCTCTTAGGTGACAGGAATGAGTGTGCACTTTCAACTCTACAAATTATTTTCAATGAATCTGCATTACTTTTTTTTCTTTTTGGCAAAACTAGGGATCAAATCCAAGGTCTTACCATACTAAACGAGTGCCCTACCACTGAGCCCCAGCCCCTGCATTATTTTTGATAAAAATAAGGAAGCAATTATCCCACCTCCCCAAAAAAGCAGAAGGCCCACAAGCCTTAGCCTTGACATCTCTGTGAAGCAAATCATTCTCCTCTCCCTGGGCTTTGCAGGTGTTTTGGAGAGGCCTCAGAGGGGCTAGAGAAGTAGTTTCATAACACATCCAGACCAGACCTTAAAATCACTGTCAAAGAATTCAGCCACAGCCAATTAGATAGCCCCTGGCCTCCATTTGTGTCAAAAGGGGCGGGCTGAAGCCAAGTTGAAACGTGGAACCTGAAACACTGAGTGTGTGACTCACCCCTCTTCTTCTGAGGACGAATCCCTTCAGCACACATTCACACAGAACCAGCTCCCAGCCAAACCCTATCCCCCGCCCCCCCAAGCTGCCACAACTCTCCAACCTGAAGGTCTTTGACTTTCAGAACAGGACCTTAAAATCTCTCCTCAGACTTGTGACAGCTTCACTTCACCCTAAACAGACCCAGATAAACACAGAGGCCCCACAACTGACATAGCCACAATTAGCTCCCTGTAACTCTCACCAAGTTTAGGGACAAGAGAAGCTAGCTGTACGGAGGTCACGGAGTCCAGCTTTCTAGAAGTCTGGGTCTGGCTGGTTGGCCTTTACAGTGACCTCGCTGCCCACGCTAAGCTATACCAGAACCAAATGTAAAATCATCACAGTACCAGACCCTCAAAGGATTTAAGTCAAAAGGCAGCCCTTTTGTCTTTGGACAACTGGAGTGCCACTCCAGTGGATAAGATAAACTGGAATTTCCAGGTGGATGTGGATTGGAGCAGAATTCTAGTCTGTCTCTTGACAGGAAGGGTCTGGGAACAAAGTATAGGAGGCACTGGATGAACAGGTAGAAATAACCAGGTTTAGCCAAAGACTATCTGGGCCCCTTTCATACACACATACACACACAGCCCAGCTAAGCCCAAGGGATAAGCCTGCTGACCTTGCTCCCAAAGTCTGAAAGTTCCCCAGAGTGGAACCTATGGAAGGTCTTGGACTGCCTGGAAATTAACTGCTCCATCACTCTCAAACCATAAATTAACCTAGTCCCAACCTGGAAATCCCTACCCAAAGACCGTAATATCCAGGCATGTGGCTGTTCCTGTCTCATTATACTCATTATAAAGCAGCAAGCTAAGATTATCCTGCAGAGCTAATGCCTGGCTTCAGAAATAGAGGAAAACTTTCACACAATCAAACAAACCCAGGGCTGAAGAAATTTAATATCAAATGTGGGTTTCTCATAGAAAGGAAGGGAGCGTTAGTAAGAGGAAAAAAGATACACACACACACACACACACACACACACACACACACACTCACTTTGGTTTCCCTAAATGCCATCAGCACTGTTTAATTACATCTCCACTGCCTAAAATGTGAGTTGCTACAGGGGAGACATTTTGTCTTCTTGTAGTTCTAGTGCTCAATACAGTACACACTGGTTTAACAAGTTACCTGATGCCCTAGTCAACAAGGATATCCAATAGACTCACAGAGACACTATGCAAGGATCTTCTTCCCACACTCTAGGCCATAGCAGGCCACCTGTGAGCCTATGCACTAGGGTTCTACTAGGAATCAACCTCAAGGAAGAATACTGGAGAGAACTATAGTTCCAACAAGCTGCAATCTGAGCCCAATTCCACTTTTGGCTCTTGTTCCCTGTGTCCCAAGGAGCTTCTACTTGGTCCACCAGAAACCCTACTGCAAAAGAAGTCTCCCACTCAGAGTCTGGGACAAATTCTTTTTTTTTTTTTTTTCATCCCAGTGCTGGGGATTGACCCCAAGGCCTTACACATGCTAGCCAAGTGATCTAACACCGAGCTACATCCCCAGCAGGTCTGGGAAATATTACAAACAGGTGTCACTTCTACAGCTATTATGCCATATGGGAAAAGGGACCAGGTTTCACCATGAAAATGAGCCATATAGTCAATCCTTTCTGAATCTCAGACTGTTAGACAAGGAGTGCCTGTGTGTGCCAATAAATTATTTCCCCTAGAAAAAAGTAATGGGCAAAGCTGGTTTTAACAACTAGTTACTTAAGCCTAAAGTTTCAAGATGTATATACAGGTAAGGATCCTGAGATGCCACCCTTAACCAGAAGGTGATGATGAGATTCCAAGACTCATCCCTGAACAGGTGGGTGAGAGAGAGCGCTTTCCCAAGCCTCACAGTATACTCTGTTCTGGGCAGCCTGCTTGTATCCACATGTGTGCATATGGAGAGAGGGATACAACATGCTTAAGAAAAATGCCTGAAAGCCAAGAGCTCCCAAGAATCTAGCAAGTGCTTCATCTTCAGTGGGCACAAATCATGGCAGAGGCTCAGCTGACAGTCCCCATAAAAGCCAGGAATATTGGCTCATGAACAAGTGCTCTCCTAGGGCCCTAACTACCTGTAGCTGCTGTTTGCTGGCCCAGACTCTAGATCAGTCTTTTCGTTTTGAACAAATGAAAGGGATCTCCTCAAAGCACAGCTAGGCAAAAGAGGGCTGTGAAGTTGAAGCAGTCCAGAATTCACTCCCTGCCCCCTCAAGAGAATTGTACTTAACTGTGCCAGGCCCCAGCTGAGTCCCCCAGGCCAGCCCTGCCTCCCCAACCAGTCTAGCCTGATGTGCTGCCCACCTACCACCACCCAGCCCTCTCTGGACTTGCCGGTGCCCCAGCCGGTCAAGGCATGTTGAGCTGTGCCAAATCTGAGCAGAGATAAACATTCCAGGAAAAGAAATGCATGGCTGCCGCTCCTCCCATCTCAGGCAAACACCCAGGTGGCCAGAAAAGGGAGACTCATTCCCAGGGTCAATAGAGGATATCCTGTAAGGCCCCAAGAGGGCCTGAGACAAGGCTATGGGGAAAGGTCTGAACTCCCTGGGAAGACTTTCTGGGGGCCTCACAATTGCCCACGGGAGAGAGAAGGGTGCCAACTATGGCTCCAAACACCAGGACCTACCTGCCCCAAGTCACACAGACAGCACACACAGAGGATTCTATCCCAAACCTATATGAAGTCTATTCAAATGCTCTGACAACCCAAGACAAATCACCAGCAGCCCATTCTGGTGCCTTACCATCTCAAACCCACCAACTAACCAGATGAGAGGGATCAAATCATCTGGCCCAGCCCTCTGGACACCAAAAAGCAGAGCCAAGTTGGCGAAAGGAACTGCAAGTAGTGAAAAGGCCACAGCTCTAAACCCCAAGGATGCTTTCTCCCACCAACCTCAAAACCACCCTGCAAGGGCTTTGACTGACACCTGCCCAGTTGAATGGACAGGCTCAACTCCCCCCCCCGCCCACACACATACTCTAAGGCAGACTTTCAGGTGTCTCAAGACCCTCAACCCCTCCTGGTCAGGAACCTCCACTCCAAGAGCTGCACCCAATCATTCAACCCTAAGGATTCAACTAAAATGGAGACAAGACCTCTATGCTCACTTCTGGGGTTGCAGCCTCAGTAGCAGCCAAATGTCACAGTCCCATGCAAGTCACAGATGGCAGCCAACCTAGATAAAGCCAGGGACCTCTCTCTCACTCTACCCTCTAAAAAGTTAGCTCTCAGGAAGTCCTTTTGAGCAGCTGATTTCAGAATCCATTTAGCAATGTCAATAACTGGTAACAAGCTTATCACTAGGGACATATTACAAAACAAAGCAGAACTGCAGTCACCACTGTGCCTCTCATACTTTAGCAAAAAGACCCTATACCTCAAACATCAATCTAATGAATTTTGGGAGTATTTATCTAATTTGCCAATTGATTTCTCTTCCTGCATAATGCACAGGCAACAAAAACAAAAGCAAAAAGCCTGGCTTCTCTGTGGTCTGCGGACTCACACTCTCTCTTCCTCCTTCTCTCTGTTGTTCAGAGCCATCTTCATGGGAGTATGAGAAAATGAAACTTCAAGGTCTCAAACAAATTGTATTACCATTAGCCACTGAAATGTACTGAGTACCTAGATGTGTGTATTTAAAATACACAATCTCATTTAGTCCTAAAACTTAACACTGTAAGGTAAGCATCAACAAGTCCATTTTAAATGAGGAAGAAACTGTAACATGCCTGAAACCATATATGTAGTGGTAGGACAAAGATTATACCTCATTTTTTTATAGGACTACTCTGCTTCCCAGATTAACCACCACATCCAAAGGAATTCAATTTTCTGCTTTAAGAAAGTCCCCCTCATGACCACAGTTCATGTTTGACCAATTCCAAGAGGTTCCTCCCAAACATGATATGAAAATATTGAAGTAATTACTGGAGAAATTGAGCAAGAGCATGTAGGGAGGCCTGCCTCTGCCAGGGCTCTACCGGAATGTGACAGAGCTATTGGCAGGATGCCTGCCAGCCTGCCAGGGCCCCTCACTCAGAACAACATTCTCTAAAACCTGGCATTAGAAATGAGCAGCCACCTGTCTGGTAACCCTGGAAGCAACCTGTGGCTGCCTTGGGCCTGCAGGCCTATGGGTTACAGGTGAAGGAGAGGTCCAGGCAGGGCTCAGCCTCCTCTTGAGGTAAGGAATGCAAACCCACCTACCGATCTCCCAGCCTACGCTGAAACATGCTGGAGGCCAGGGTTCAGATCACCAGGGCAAGGAGTGTGAGAAAGGGAAAGGGCAGCCCTGGTTACATTTTAGCCCTCCAGCTCCCAGGGTACACAAGCCCTCTGCCCCTGTGAGGGCACCAGGTTTTGGGAACCTTCAGGAGGAGGAAGTTGGAGGAGGGGGACCGAGGGTCCCAGGTCAGGGATATACACAGAAGAGGAAATGAACACAATAGTGACAACTTACTGAGAGTTTATCCTCATTAATCCAACTCTTATTTACACTGTTTCATTTACTCTTCAGCAACAAGCTCCTAAATAGGTACCATTTACTATCTTCAGAAGGGAGACCTTACAGACAAGTCACTTGCCCAAAGAAGGCTCAGGAGAAAACCCACATTCAGGAGAGTGGCTCCAAGAGAAGACATGAACGCACAGGTCAGATCCCTTCCGCACCGTCCACCCAAAAGCAGGGGAGTTACTCTGAGCTGCCTGTTCCCACCACGGTTAGTATGGCAAGGCTGCTCCAAGCCCTAAGCCGACTTAAACTCCAAAACTTCCTGATCCCTGAGTCACAGCAGGGACGTCTCTAAGAAGGGACTGCGGGCTTCCCTACAGGGCCCCAGTCAACCTCTCTTCCCCTATGAGGCCCCGAGCCTCTCTTTGGGCTTAAGTTCTCGGACCCCGAATAGGGAGACTGGCAGTCGTGTTACAGAGCACAGGGGAATGTCCCAGAGACCCCAGTCCGGGAAATCCGGGGGAGTCCCCGTCCTCGGACAGGCGCCGACCCGAGTCCTTACCGAGCAGCGGGGACTCCTCAGGGCAAGCGGGCAACGACAGTGCTGTGGTGGGGGACACTGAGACCGAAGTCAAGTTGCTCTCGGGGCCGGGGCCAGAATCCGCACCAGGGTTGGAGTCGCGACCCGGGCGAGGCTCAGAGGAGACGCCTATAGGAGGCGGCGGCCGAGCGCCCGGGGACCGGAGCTCCCCGGAGGACTGCCCGCTGGCGGTGGCGCCGTTTGAGCTGCCCTGCAGTGGCGTGGGGACTCCGACGAGCAGGCGGTTCAGGTCGCGGCCAGCCAGGTAGTAGACGAGGGTGACGCCGAGGTGCAGCGCGCAGACGGCCACGAGCAGGCGGCAGGCCCGCTGTAGGGTCGCGCCGGGCATCGCGGCGCTGCCGCCCAAGAGCGGCTCCCGAAACCTCATCTTCCCGCCGCTGCTTTAAGAGGGGGGGGTGGGCCACGAGCGGGGTGGACGGCCCGCCCGCGGGCCGCCAGCCAGGCGCTACCCGACCACGGCGGCTGGGGGAGGGGCCGCAGGGGGGCGAAGGAGCAGGGCGGGTGGAAAGCCGAGACTCGGGCTGGACTCAGCAGCCACCACTAGAGCGCCGGAGGCGCGGGCGGGGGCGGGGCGGGGCCGCCGACGGGGGCGGGGCCGCGAACGGGCTTTTCTGGGCGCTAGGGGAGGGCGGGGTCTCTGGGGCGCGGGATCGGGGGGCGGGGCACTCCGGGGGCGGGGCACTCCGGGGGCGGAGTCTCCGGAGGGGGGTTGCGGAGGCGGAGCTCTTGGGCCCGCCCTGCCGGGTGGGACTCTGCCTCTCACGCCCAGCCGGCCCGGCTCTCGTCTTCCTCAGCCTTTACCCCACGTGGGGCTTAGGTAGCCACCAAGCCGCGCCTCCTCCAGCGAGCGGCTCCCAAAGGCCCGGCCACTTCCTGGGGTACCCAGGGACTGGGGTGCGGGCCTGGGACTGCTGCGCGGCGGCAAAGAGGGAGGAGGGAAAAGCTGGATGTTGTTTGAGGGGTTGGGGCCACGGCCGACTTGCTGCCGGTAGGACTAGGGGGTGAGAACGGTTGTCCAGGAAACAGGCTTTGACGCCCCGCGAGGACACGGACGGCGGCGCGGTTGTTCTCTGGGACGTTCGGAGCCCTCTCTCTTAGCCTAGCTGGGGCCGCGGTGTCCTGCGGTGAGTGAGGAAAGTGGACGTGTATGCCGGGTTAGGGAATCTCAGAGGCCGGCCCAGCTCGGTTCTGGGTGCAGAGGGCACCTCCAAATGCATACCATGCTGTGAGGATAAATGCTTTCAGGGGGAGGGTGACAAAAGCTTCAGTAACTCACGCTGGCAGCCGGAGAGCTGTCTGTTTTACAGTCTACACTAGGCTGGAACACAGTCCAGTCAAGTAGGAATTGTTCCCATTTTACAGATAAGAGTTCAGGAAGCCTGATGTGGTTGGTGGTGCACCCCTGCAATCTGAGCAGTTGGGAGGTGGAGGCAGGACGATCCAGAGTTGGAGGCCATTGTCTCAAAAAAAGAAAAAGAAAATAAAAGATTCAAGATCCAGAAAGTTAAGAAACTTGCCAAATATCCCACAGCTGATGGGAGGTAGAATAGAATTCTGGCTCCAAAACCCTTATTCACTCTACACACACACACATATTTGCACGCATACCCACTAACCCCCCTTTGTTGATTTGCAAATAAAGGCTGGAAGTTGTGTGGGTGAGAGACTTAAGCACTGAAGCCCCTGAACCTAAAGTTTACCCTAAGGGCTCAGACCCACCTGGTATTTGACTGACCTCAACGCAAAGAAAGACTGGTGGAGGTGCTGTCTTATGTGTGAATGGAAGCTGTGGGCTCTGGCAGCCGACTTTGAATAGGGAATGTTAGTTAACACTAGCTACTGTACTTTGAGAACTTACTATATGCCTGTGTGTGTCATAAAATAAGCATTGTTTCTGTCTCCATTTCACAGAAGAAAAAAACAGGTGGAGAAGTTGACATTTGGTTAGGATGATACAGAACCTGCTTCCTTCACTTGACTTCCCAAACGCCACGTCCTCCAGATCTTCCTCATTTCACTGGCCACTCCTCTGTCTCTTTTTTGGACTTCTTTACTTCCCAGTGTTGAAGGTCCCAGGCCATGGTCCATAATGCTGTTTCTTTTTTTTTTTTTTTTTCTACACTCACTTCCTACGTGTGATTTATAATATCTGTATGCCTGACAACCCCAAAATTTCTGTGTTTCGTCCCACGTTCTTGTACTAGCATCTCAAAGTCAATGCTTCCTGCCTCCAGCAACTTAACCCTATGCTTTACTCCCATCCTTACCTCCTTCATTGTTCACCTAGTTCCCCAAGACCAGAATTTGACAAGTGTCCTTGATGTGCCCCTAATTCCAAAATGTCATTTCCAATTTCTCTGCAAGGCACCTCAGTGCTTCCTTCAAAATACCAGAATTCACCAGACATGGTGGCTCACACCTGTAATCCTAGCTATTTGGGAAGCTGAGATCAAGAGGATCATGGTTTCAAGGCCAGTCTAGGGAAATAGTTTGAAATCTCCATCTCCAAAATAACCATAACAAAATGGACTAGAGATAAAGCTCAAGTGGCAGAGTGCTTGCTTTGCAAGCACAAAGCTCTGAGTTCAAACCCCATTCCTGCAAAGTAAATAAATAAATAAAAATACACTGTTTGGTAACTCTGCTGTTAGTCATTGTGGACCAAGCCACCATTATCTTGGCCTGGGTATATGGTCACCCTACTTCCACCTCTTCCATACCCCTTCTCCAGTCTTCCTTCCTACCTGCCTCAGAGCCTTTGTACTTGCTATTCACTTAGGCTGAAACACTCTTCCCTCATTATTTCATTCAGGTCCCTCAAATGTCACCTTATGAAAAAGACCTTCATGGACTACCTTATGTAAATTAGTCTCTTGCCCAAATCTGCTTTTCCTGCTTGATTTTTTGAGACAGGGTAGCCCAGCCTGGAACTTGCTGTATATACCAGGCTGACCTCACTTGCAATCCACCTGCTCAGCCTCCTGAGTGCTGGAATACCCAGCAATATATACAATTGTCTTGATAGGAAGAGAAGGGAGAAATTATTGCAGTTATTTTAGGACAACAAAGTCAATAGTTAATCTTTCAAGGAGTTGGTAAAGGTGAAGCTGATCCTAACAACTTATATCCTACGGGAAAATTCTGCCTGGCCAATGAATCAGACTAAGGCAGATGAGTCCCCCATCTGAAAAATGAGGGGACGACTGAGGGGGGGCATGGCTCAAGTGGTAGAGCACTTGCCTAGCAAGTGTGAGGTCCTGAGTTCAAGCCCCAATGCTGCAAAAAAAAAAAAAAGAGGGGGAGAAAATGGAGATGTATATGTTGTAGTAGGTACAATGATGGCCAGGAGACAGGACTGCAGACCTGTCCCAGGACCATCTGTGGTTAGGCATCAAGGAAAAGGAACAGTACTTGCTAATTGTCTATAACTTAGGAAGATGCAGAGTCCACTGAGGCCAGAGCACCAGCTTTACCAGCCCCTGATCCAGAGGTATCTAGAATTAGTATATTTATTGCATCAAAAAGGTCCAGAATCCTCAGGACAACATTGTTCAGCTTCCAAACATGAATTAATTGGTATTAGAGAAAGAAAGACAACTTTCCCCACTGTCTCCAGATCTTTTCACTTTTTATTTATTTTTTTCTTTTGGCAGTACTAGGGTTTGAACTCAGGGCCTACACTTTGAGCCACTCCACCAGCCCTTTCTTGTGAACTATTTGCCTGGAGCTGGCTTAAAACCTCGATCCTTCTGATCTCTACCTCCTGTGTAGTTAGGATTATAGGCAAGAGGCACTGGTGCCCAGCTTCTTTTCACTCTTTGTTAATTGAAAAGTTAATCCAAATCCTTCAGGACCACATTGTTCAGCTTCCAAACATAAATTGGTATTAGAGAAAGTAACAGAGATAACCTTCCCCACTGTCTCCAGCTTTTTTCACTCTTGACTTTGTCAAGTGAAAAGTTAATCCCATCAGGTGAGACACCTGGAGAAGTTGCAGTACTGCTTGGCCAAAAGTTGGGGTCTAGGTTTGACTGTTGACCCATCCAGTGCTCATCTGCGAGAATCTCCAGCTTTCTGTTCCCTGCAGCTTGCCTTTGACTGCCGAAGTGGCTATTCCTCTTCCCTTTCATAGAATCTTCTTCTACACCTGTTAGTTTATATTTCTGTTTCACCCATATAAATCAGAAGAGTACACTAGATAGCAGTTATTTCACAGCTCTATTGCACATAGCATACCACCCAAAAATTTAGTGTCTAAAAATAGTTTCCCACAGTCATGTAGCTGGCTTGGCAGTTCTGCCTCACATGGTGTCAGCCAGCACACTGGCATAGTTGAAAGTTCCAAAATGGCCTCACATGACTGGTAGTTGGTGCTGGCTGGGGGCTGGGAACTCAGAATGGGTTGTGGGTCATGGGACCTCCATTCTCGATGTTGGCCTCTCCCCAAAGGCATTTTCATTGGCTGCTTGGGTTTCCTCACATACTGAGGGATGTGTTCCAAAAAGGAGCATTTCAAGAACAAGGCAAAAAAGATGCAGATCTCTTAAGGCCCAGAATTAAGCATCATTTCTGTGGGCATTCTTTTGTTATTAAAACAGGTTACTGGGCAGTTTAGATTTAAGGGGAGTAAAAACAGACTCCATCTATTGATGCAAGTTGGGGCAAAGAATCGGCAGGCATCTTTAATCTGTGGTTTGCCCTGTAGCCACAAATTATTTACAATCTTCCCATGGGCAAAATACTTTTTACTCTCCTCCCAAGACCCCCCGAAAGGCTCATCCCATTAAGACTTCCAGAGTCTCATCATCTAAATAGCTCCAGGTGTGGTTCCTCAAGTTCAGGGACCTATGAATTATAAAAATTAAATTGCCTTTTTCTTCTTCCTCTGTTCCTATTCCTGAGCAATTCAGTTAAAAGTCACTAGAAGGACTCAACAAGGTAGGTAGTCCAAATGGCATGGGCAGCATGTCAAAGACAACCAGGATGAGAAGTTGGGGTGGAGACTAGGTGGGGAGGACAGCAACCAGCAAAAAGCACAACAGAAAGGTCGTCCGTGGAGTATCAGGATCTGGGCATGGTAGGTGGGGTTTCTGTGAAATAGGGCATTCCAGATCAGGCAGAGCCCAAGTGGGTTGAGAAGATTGTTAAAACAGGTAGACTGATTAAGAAGGAACTATGTGGGGCTGGAGGTGTGACTTGAATTAGGTAGAGCACTTGCCTTGCAACTGCAAGACCCTCAGTTCAAATCCCAGTACCTTCAATAATAAGTAATTAAAATAAGAGGTTTTTTTTTTAAAGAAACTACATATAAATATGTGTATAAGGAGTTACCTAAGTCTCTGACTCTATCAGAGAAGGAGTTACAGATATAAACAGAGAAAACTAAAATGGATTATTTGGTACTTTTATTTGATTTTGAAAAAATAGCATAGAATTAATGGTTTTCAA